TGCCTTGGCTCTTGCCTGGATCCAGATCTAATCCCGTCTTCAGTGTGCAAGTAAGTGCTTTAGCTAAACTCTGAGATAGCTGGAAAACTGTGTTGCTGCAAAGATAACATGGGATGTCATCTATTTGCTGTGAGTGCATCAGCTCGTATCATCCGTTTTTCCAGTACTTCCCGGATACAAAGGAGATGGGATGATGTATAGACTGTTTTCTCTGGAGTGCACCAGTAGCTGTTTGCAGGTGAACAAGAGTGCAGGTGGTTGGGATTTCTAAGCTGTTCATGATAACAGAGATGTTTTGCCAGTTGTGGCTTTGCTTCTTGTACTGTGGGAGGCAGAGAGAGAAGCCGTTTTTTTTGGCTCGTGACAGAAGTTTGGAAACAGTAAGGTTTTCCTTGGTCCCAATTTTCATGTCACTAGACATTCAAGACTGTATTTATTAAAGCGAACAGTGTTGTCCATAAATACGTATGGTGGCAGTCCCTAATGTCGAGGTCCTCAACTAGTATAAATCGGTGTAATTCCTTTGATTTATATGAACTGGCATAATCCTGTTTAGTTGAAGATCTGGGCCAGGGTACAGGAAGTGTATGTGTTAGCCAGGGAAGGTAGTAGTAGTTTCTAATTCTTCTACTTACTGCTTTCATATGGATGTGGAGTGTTTCGAAGTTGACATGGTCCAAACAAGGTATTTTTAATTTTCCATTTGGAGTGTCAACATCTCGGTAAGTGGAACAACATCCTTGGTTTAGGGGTTATGTTTCATTATTGCTTCGTAGGAAACGAAGACCCAGTTTGGATCTGGACTTTTGAGCAGTGACGAAACTTCGAGGGACAGAAGTATTTCTTTAAAGGATGAACAGATTGCATGTGCAAAGTGTTATGCAGTTAAAATGTTTAGCTAATTCAGAACTTACATTCATTGAAATTAATAAGACACTATATTCATGTAACAGCTGAATCCAGATATTTAGGGCATGTAAAATGAAATAAAACAAAAAGATTTTAAGAATTTTGTAGCTTGAAAGAGCAATGAGGAACGCAGTTCTTTTGCAGTCAAAAATGATAATGCCTTTCACTAGGAGCTGAGCTTTTACAAAGGGTCTTTCAACTGAGGATCTCACAACTCTGCTCGAAACACTGAATTAGGGCTCAACACTGAAGCCTTTATCAAATGAACAGTCTGAAGGGGAAGGGAGTGCTCCGATCGTTTGTCAGCTGTAGGACTGGGCTCTTGCGCCTCGCCCTGCGAGGTAAGGCAGCTTTACTTTCTATAATTTACAGATGAGCAAGCGAGAAGTGTGACTTGCGTAAGTTAGACCACAAGTCTGGCAAAGTTGTGGAATGAAACACCCTAGCAGACATGTATGTAAGCTGCGATTTCATCTTTCTCTCATGATTCTAAGTTGGGAAGAGCAACAACTGTTTTGAAATTTAAACCAGAAAGATAATCATGTCTTTCCATGTGATTTGTTGGTTATCCTGGCTAGTTATCTTGGTTGAAATGAGGAAACACTTTTCAAAATCTGTTATCTGTTGG